TATTTATATATATTTATATATTTGGTAGAGACCAAAGCCCTAGAGTGAAACAAGTATAAACAAATTCAGAATGGATACATCAACTACAGATAGTGTTCTGATTCCACTAAGTTCAGTGTTAAGACATCTGTCAGTTTCAGTGGATTATGGTTTTAAATGGATCACCATAAGAGGCAACAGGAAAATAAGAGTATCAACTCCACTGCCATTTTATGTTATGATACAGGAGAAAATACTATATTCTTATTTTCATTCAGATATTTCAGAGACAAAAAGTGTTTATTATACTATAAACACGAAGTAGATTAATCCCCTAGGGGAACAAATTGAAATTGCATTGGTAGCAATCTTTAAAACCTACATTTTATAGATATATTATATAATACACATGAAATATGAATATATATTGATGAAGTGTGCATATAATGTGTATACATTTAAAAATATAATATTGTGCTGAATTAACTCTGTTAACTGCTCTTTTTTCATTAATTCTTTAATTAAGAATTCTGTTCTTTAATTCTTTGGAATTCACATGGTATCAAAGAAAACTAATGACAACAGTTTTGTAACTACAGAAAACAATCTGGGAGGGTTTGCAAGTAGAGAGTAATGAAGTGTGTACCTTTCCTCCTGTGAGAAGCACCCCTCCACTTCGCAGTCCCACAGCAATAGTAGCCAGCTTTTGAGATAAAGGACGCCCCAGAAGACTGTGGCTTATGTGTTCAAAGGAAGATGTTCCTAATTTGTCCACTCCTCTGCAGAGCAAATAAAACATTAAATGGCCTAGGGTAGCATCAGTACACACGATGTAAATAGTAATAGCTTGCAGCAGGGTGAGGTTTCAATGCTGGCACATTTTGATGTACTTCACCTTTTCAAGAAAAAGCTAAAGACAATTCAATTTGAAGAGACAGCACCTTTATTTTGCAGTGGTGATGCAGGGGACACAGATGGGCATTGCAGAACGCCCCCACAAAGCAAGGGTTATCTAGTCATTCTACACCACCCTAGCATGAGTTAAGTCTCAGAAGGTAAGAGCTAACTGTATTTTGGGGCTTCATGTATTTGAGTGTCTGAGTAGGTTGCTACTAGGGAATGTAACAAATCGGTAAGACATGGACCATGCTTGAGTCAGAAAACTTCTCAGCCTTTTCAGAAAAGCAGCACACAGTGCATTTGAAGGCATCCTTATCCTTCACCAGTTCTAAATCTCTGTGACTGTCAACACAACAGTGCTCCTTTCAGCTCCGCAAACAGCAAGGCTATCAGTTTTGTATTTCAACTTTAAACAAAAAGTGTTGTTCCAGGAGAAATGGAATGAACAAATGAATCCTGGTTTCTAATACCCCTACCCTTGGAACAGGCTTCCTAGAGAGGTGGTTGATGCCCCAAGCCTGTCGGTGTTTAAGAGGCATTTGGACAATGCCCTTAATAATATGCTTTAACTTTTGGTCAGCCCTGAAGTGGTCAGGCAGTTGGACTGGATGATCGCTGTAGGTCCTTTCCAACTGAAATATTCTATTCTACTCTATTCTACTCTACTCTATTCCTACCACATCCCATCCCTACCACACTACCCCTAGATCAGTTCCTGTTCCCACTTCACCGTAATACACTCAGTTGCCTTTCACAATGCTGATAGCATACTACCACAATACTTCAAGTCTCTCGTGTCCCCTCTGCCCCATCCCTACCTCAAGTTTGCCACACAGTACCACTGTCTTCGCTTATACTAATGACCACAGCTTAACATATCACTTAGTTATTAGCTGGGAAAGAGCCAGCATGTCTTATGGCTAGTTCCAGACAATACCACTGCCACTAGCCACCTAGGAGGTTAACCAAGTACCTGTTGAGTTTACATTGCACTTTTTACCAGTGAAGACACGATTCTGAATTTCTCTCCTCAGCTGACAATTCTGATGAAACTATGAACTAAGTTTCTTTAAGACCCATACTATTAAATTTAGTTAAACAAGTAAACAGGTTTAAGTTACAGTGGGAAAAGGACTGACAGACAGACTGCAACATATCGTAAGTTTTGCTTCATTTGGAGACCCCAGCTAAAAACACCCTCCAACAAACCCAGTATCCCTTACTGCTACACAGAGGTCTGTCTCATACCACTTAAAAGCACAGCAAGAGTAACTGAACTATCAGTATTGCTTCTGGAACTTACACTGTTCTGAGACCTCCCATCCTACTGTCAGACAGGGTGAACTTTTCAGTACATGAGTACCTTCGGTCATGTGAAGTTTTCTACTCACTTCAGTGAGACTATTCAGAGGACAAAATTAACTATCTACATACACTAGGATAAGGTCTGAACCTGACTGTCGTGGTTTAACCCCAGCCAGCTACTAAGCACCATGCAGCTGCTCGCTCACTGCCTCTGCCCTGGCTGGGATGGGGGAGAGAATCGGAGGAGTAAGAGTGAGAAAACTCCTGGGTTGAGATAAGAACAGTTTAATAATTGAAATAAAATAAAGCAAAATAGTAGTAATAACAATGTAATAATAATACACAAAATGAGCGATGCACAATGCAATGGCTCACCACCTGCCGACTGATACCCAGCCAGTTCCCGAGCAGCGATCACTGCCCCCCGGCCAACTCCCCCCAGTTTCTATACTGAGCATGATGTCATATGGTATGGAATAGCCCTTTGGTCAGTTTGGGTCAGCTGTCCTGGCTGTGCCCCCTTCCAGCTTCTTGTGCACCTGGCAGAGCATAGGAAGCTGAAAAGTCCTTGACTAGCATAAACATTACTTAGCAACAACTAAAACATCAGTGTGCTATCAACATTATTCTCATACTAAATCCAAAACACAGCACTACACCAGCTACTAGGAAGAAAATTAACTCTATCCCAGCTGAAACCAGGACACCGACACAAGCCAAAATATGCAGAGGTTTTTTTAGATCTGGCTTAGTTTTAAAAAAATCTGCATTTCCACCAATACTTTTTTTTTTAATTCCCTTTCCCATTCCCTCCCATATTTTCTACTATGAAAATGTCTCACCCTAAATCATTTAGTTTGTGGTAAGGAAGATTCCTGTCTGTATCACACGTAGGTGGCTGGCTGTCACCATCAGCTTTTCTAGTTGGAGGATGTAAAAGAACCTAAAACAAAGGAAAGAGTTAGTACTTTACATTACATATAACTACAGAAGAAGGGTATAGAAGTGACTAACCATTTTTGGAATTGTGTAAAGAAAATGTTGCATGTATGCTTTGCTGAAGCTTACTGCGCTTGAAAGAATTGGTAAAATGGCATCAATACTACTATTTCCAAAACACAATCCACTGTTTACAATGATGTCACAACCTGTGATTAGATATTATGCCAAGTGCTGTTTATACCAGACTATGCAGCACATCATCTCCTTCCCTACTTGTAACTAATTGTTTCTTCTCCTGTCCCCTCCCTTGTTGTGCTGGCATGAGCATTTGGGAGGCAAGATAGTGAATCAGATCAGGAGCCTGATCTGGCTGAAAAGTAACCTGACAAAACACCTGGCTTTTTTCACCTGCATGGATTTTTCAGTCTAGTTCACCAGGGAGCTAGTATGGAAAGCTGGGCAGGCAAACAGGGCTAGCAGACTGGTTCACAGATAAGAACAGGCTGGTAGGAGATGCTGACACTGCTATTAAGAAATGCATTTCACCCTTTCATCTTAGTACCAGTCACTAGCACAATTTGTAGAAGTCTTCTTGTACTTCTTTACTACCAATAGAAATAAAGCTCTTTTTTTACTTTTTTTTTGAACAGGAATCCTAAATTTTGCAGAAAAACCCCTATTCTAGACAGCCAAAACAAGACACCTTAATTCTCTGCTAAAATCTACCTGTCTCAGTTTAAAAATGAAAAAACATTGTCCCACTCCTAGAACCATAAACCTGGAGTCACAGGCGCTGGTTCAACCAGCATTATCAATGGAAACAGTAATCCTAATATTAAATAGAAATATTTATTCTCCTGGGAAAGGAAAGACTGAAGAAACAGAAACTATATAAATGAGAAGACAGTGTGAGCTTGGTAGGTTTCAATGGCGAATATGCCTCATCTTTGTCAGAACAAGCTACCATTCCTGCCAGATACACTGCGAAGTGATTTTACAGTGATTTAGGTGGGAAAGAGCAACTAAGTATAAGGATAGTCTGTTCAAACTTGGACAGTGCTGACTTTCCTCTGCTCTAATTGATTTTTCTGAAAATTTAATACAGACTATGAAATTCAGTAACTAGTGTGGCATGCCTGGAATCTCACCAGTGCTGAGGCTAATATAAAGAATGCAGATAGTTAATTTAATGAACAGACTGACATTATTTCTTTAAAAAGGGAAAACAAAAAACATTATATATAAAATGTAATATATTTTTAACCAAATGTAACAATTTAAATTACTTGATACCTGATACTATGTGATATTTACTTGTATATTAGTCTTTTGCAGCAAACTGGGACTCAGTATAAAAATATTCTCAGACTTATTTTCTTCAACGTGCGTAGGATGCACTACACTAAGGAAAAATTCCTCCATTCCTGTAAAAACCCAAGGAAAACTATTAAAATTCGAAATAAATTTGTTTTTTATTCCTAACAAGATGAAACAGATTAGTGTATTTTGAATTACTAAAATATAATCCAAAATGAAAGAATAAAAAAGGTTAATCATTACTAAAGCATAATTCATGCTTACAGTTTCAGTGTAAAGAGATATCTGTTACGTTAAATGGTATATACAGACATTAAATGGCATATTGCCTGAGTAAATTCCATAACTGACAGTTAAGACAGCCACAGCACAGGACAATATACTCCTTACCTTCTTTAACAGACAGATGTATACAGTCTGTGCTTGTCATAAGCCATGGGAGATCATCAGTAGCAGAATCCTGCAGCCAAGAACTGAAAGCAGATTTAACATCATCTTCATGTATATCTTTATGCTAATTAGGAAAAAAGAAAGAGGGAAATTAAACAAAACAAGGTGTTAGTAAGTAAAACTGTTTTCTTCCTATGCATGAGGCATTTGTTTCTCTTATGGTAGCAGACAGATGGAAGAAGATACAACAGTTGTATTTATACAGAAAATAATGTTTTCCCAGCAACACCATTTCTATCAACTGGTCTAATGGAAAGCACCTGTCTAGCCCTTGCTACAGCTACAGTTGAATCTTCCACCACCTCTAAAGATTTTATCTTTGGAACACTGATGTGAGGGCAAGGAAAAGCTTTTATTCTTCTTTTACTTATCTGTATTGCCAGATCCAAGAGCACTACTCCTGGGTTTGAAAGAACACCCGTATTGACCTGTGACTTATTCTGGGTGCTCATTACACCCCTCCTCCCTGTATACTCTGCTTCCTATACAAAGGAGCCTGGGCTCACCTAGGTCAGGGGTACCAACAACAAACTTCAACAGGCATGCAACAAGATCAAACAACTTATCCCAGATCACCTAGATAAGTGGAATAGGAAAAGAAATTGAGTCCAGATCATATATATATCTTGGCTGAGTTCCTAACCACAGAAGCATAATTTCTGTCTTAAAAAGGGGGGAATCAACTGAGATCATGGAGCAGCATTCAGAAAGGAATATGAAAGTTACTGTCATATTTCTTTCTGTGTTTGTCTGGTTTGTTCCAAGAACTAAAAAAACTTCAACTGAATTAGAAAGAAAGGGAGAAATCTGTATTTAAAACCTACAGAAGCACACATAACTACTTTGTATGATTTTAGCAAATTACTGACAGAATACTCTTTTAACTCCAATATAAAAAAAATTAATAATGCAGTTCAACCATTCCTCTGTAGGTAAGAAACCAAAATAGAATATCGTGGATAAAGAATAAGCCCTGCTGTGATGGGAAGTGCTGTATTTAAAGTTTTGAGGGGCAGCTAACATGGGAAATAACCTGTCCAGTGTCACACAGAAACAAGCATATGGTACATTATGAAGAAATACGTCATTCCAGAGCTACATCTGACAGACTGTGAGAACTGGTACAAAGTATGTTCTTACTGTCACAGATGCTCACTCAGAAGGGTGGATAGGTCTCACTTACAGGAAAACAGAGGGATTCAATGATATAACTCTAGAAAATTAAATCTTGAGCATGATGGGAAAAAATATCAGCATTAAAAGGAAGTAAAAACCTAAACAGCATATAAAAAAATGTAGTAATTTTACTGCAGTTGTCTGTCTTGGGAAATCCACTGGACACTGCAGTGTTTGGAGAGTATAAGCAGATCTTCTCCCAGAAGACTTAAAATGGATGTTTCCTCTTTAACTCTGGGATTCTTTTTCTTTTTTGTTTTTGTTTTTATAGGACTAAATGTATACACTTAAAATTTGCTAGGCTGGAACCAGTATTAATGTACTGCACTTGAGGGTCTGAGGCAAAATTATCAATTATTGTTGCTATTTTGACAGCAATTTGACAGCAAAAGACCTAATTAAACAGAAAATGCACCTTTTCCCTACCAATGCCATTTTTCCTTCATGATGTCAACATCCTTTTTAGTAAGAAAGACATCAGAAATTTTCACAATTTGCGAATAACAGAAGACCCTATGATTTAAAAGGTACTATACAGCATTCCTCTAATAGCTTCAGGAAACTAAGAGTTAAAATTCAGAAGTTCTGTCTCCTCCACCCTCTGTGACCTCTGCCAGTTCCTTTAAATAAGAAATTGTTACAGATAACATGCCAAACTATTTGAAATATTTATCAAGTGCAAACCAAAATTCAATGGCTTGATGTTTACAGTATCACTGATCAAAATACAAAATAGTATTACTAGATAAGCCATGTTGAAGTAGAGCATAGCATCTTCTTAATTCAAATGACTTACATAGTAAAAGAAAAAGCAAGGAATTATTAAAAAAAGAAATTCCTTTGGAATGATGTCATACATGACACACAACTTCCAAACTATCATCTAACAAATGAAAACAAATAAACATTGAAAAACCCCCAACCTTGACCAGAGCAACATTATCAGTTTTCCAATATATGAACAAATACATGACCAAGAATATCAACTCACTAAGTTCTGTTTGGGTTGCAGTCTAAGAGATACAGGAATTTTAGGAACAGATTCAACTGACTTAATTCGGACTGTTGAATGTATTTCAATATGTAGCTTTTTTCTCATACCATCTGGAATCTGAAATATTTAAAATAAAAGCAAAGAAAAAGGAGATATCAGAAAGTAAAACAGTTATAACATTGCATATGTAGTACAATATCAGTTTCTTCATCACTAACAGAACATCTATATTTGATCATCAATCTGTTTATTGGTTGTAATCTGCAAGAGAATTAAGAAGGAAACCATAAAATGGATGATGGTATCCAAATCTTATTCTCTCATGCACACTTCTAATTGCCTTTTATTCTATTTGTGAAAGTGCTCACTATAGCTGACCACCTACTAACTTGCTTAAATAAAAACCAAAAGGTTGAAAAAGAAGAAGGAATTCTTAGAATGTTGTAAGAATGCTTTTAGAACAGGAGAAGAACAACAATTCTACTTTCATTTGCTGATTAAAATTAATTTTACATTGGCAGGTAAATATAAATAGGCCATTATACAGATCAGAACTAAGCACATCCGCAGCACAGAGAGAGAAAATCCGATTTCCCTAAATTGTACTCATCAGTTAACCCTTTTAAAAAGGAAACTACTTTTCACATATTCTGTGTTACTCTAAACATATATCCAAACTGACAATATCTCATAAATATTTATTAAGTCTGAAAGAAAGACTTTACGGTTGCTGGCATTTGGAAAATTGTTATGTCTCTCAAAAGATTTAGTGGTAAAGACCACTGCAGGCTCTTCCTCTCATTCTCAACAAAAAAAATAAGTGAATGGTGAGAAGTATCTTATGTCAAAATAGTCAAATGGTGGAGTGCATTTTATCTATTTCTGTTGATCCCACATGTGCTTCCAGGAAAGAACGAACATAAGCAGGCTGTAGTTCTATCAGAACAATCTGAAATGTCAGTGTGCGCACATTGGGACTTGTGGCACCTTACAAAATAGTACATAAAAACTAAAATAATTTAAACTATATAAAAGCTAGTTATTTGATATTATTCTTTTAAGATTTGTTTTAAAGAGTATACAAAAGCACTTGCAAACATTGTGTAGCACTAGGATACGTGATCCCATTACTCTACAGTTTGATGACACCTACAGTCCAAAGCACATTTTGAAGGGATAACTGATGAAAAGAATCTCATTATGCAGTACTGAATATAAGCAGATACTTTCACATTCTCATGAATACAGCGGCTACCAACAGATTTTGAAGAAAGCATGCATTGCCTCCAGAAACACTGAAGAATTTCCCCATTTGGTGCAAAAATGCTAAGGGTGCAGAAAACCAGAGTACACCATACATCTTGGAGGATGATGGTAAGTAATGTAGTCCAGAATTAGATGGTTTGGCAAAGCACAGCTCCAGTAAATATTATTTGATTCTAATATACTCTACTTGGAAGCTTAACAGAAAGTCTATATGCCAAAAACTGCATGTTAATTAGCCAGTTCCACAATTATCCAATAGAAAAAAAATTATCCAATAAAAAGTCCAAAAGATAGTGTGCTCAAACTGACCCAAACTCTTCCAACATGTAGGGCTTCCCCACTGTGGCCATACTCTATGACACTCTTTAGGTCTTCAAATCCGTTCCAAACGATTTGAACAACAGATCCCTCACCGGATGCTTGACTGCTATTAGAATTAGAATGATTTTTGTCTTGCGTACTAGTCAAATGCTTTTGCTTTTCAAGTGGCGGATTTTGCTTTGCTTCTTGATGACGCTGTCTTGGGGAAAGCAGCTGATTAATTTTCCCGTAAGATACTACAGGGTTTGGATCCAAATCAATAAATTCTAAATTCCACGGAAAAACATGAATAGCATTGCATTTCAGAAATGCATGAGTGGCAGATGCATTCTGTACGCTGGGAGGCTGGGACTGACATACTCTAAAAATGGAATCCATGTGAATTAAGTTCAGCAGCTTGTCTTTGAAGGTGCTCATTTCATCTTTATCACATGACGTCTTTTGTTTCTGCTCAGATGTATGAGAGAAAACGCTTCCTACGAAACTCCATATATTTGGGAGAACATTTGAGCCAAACATCATGTTTGCATCAGCCTTACTCTGTTCAAGGACTCCTGGCTTTAAGTAAGGTTGTTTGGCAAAAGGATCCTTTACTATTTCTTCTTGCTCCATGTTATTTTTCACAAAACTTTTGAGCAAGATGTCACTTTCTGCGGAAGGCGTGCTGGTGATATTTTCCTCAAGTTCACGTGTTTTGGGAAGTATCAGAAGCTCCGTGCATGGCTCTAATCTCCCATAGGGGGCTGCTGGCATAAGTGTACCTGAGTATGAACAAAGCAAGTCAATGAATGCATCCACTCTTGCAAAACAGCTTAGTCAAGGTACCACAATAGCCTTCACTGTTGCTTACCGATTTTGATGTAAACGTGAGTGTGCTGTTCAACCCATACAGGAAAGATGGCTTTTGGAAATACTATTCGAATCTGGTCAAGAAGATGTTTTTCAAGAGAGGAAGCATGAAGTTCCTGGGAAAACGTGGTATCATTATCAATTAAATACTGCATACATTTCTAACATTTGTTTGAAGATAAAAACTCTACATGTCTTCTAATACACCATTTGAAAAATAAAATACAATGAAACTCTACCACATTTAGTATTTCCTTAGGGGCTGAAAAGAATGGGGCATTGTGCAAAAAACTGCTTGTGTCAAAATCTCTGTCATCTGTAAGAAAAGGACGTGAACAGGGGAAGAGGTTTTATTACCAGAATTTCCCAATCATCTGTTGAGAGTGGTTCCACTTCTACTTGCTGGCAGGAGGAGACGTGGGAACAGGGTTCAAGAAATACCTGGCAAAAGTAACACCATTTCAAAATATTTAACTTCTTATTTTTAAACATAGAAAAGCTCCATCTATAATTCAACTAGAAAACTGACTTCTCCTTCATGATACATTTTCACTGCTTTGAACATACATCTTAACGACACTAGGTAATTCATAAGCAGAAGATGGATGTTCAACATATTGGAAATGGATTGCATTGGGCATGCCTAGGGACTTCAACACACTGTGAACGGAAGGGAACATGAAAAGCATCAAAAGCTTTATCAGCTGATAACAAACAATCAATTTTTAATGCATATTGATCACATAACTGTCTTTGCATTTTTTAATTTTTATTTTTAAATGTCCTGGACTCTAGAATGCTGAAAAATTTGTCAAGTTGTGCACAAATTTAGAAAAGGCAGAAACACATGAAGAAATGAGGAAAAAGTACAATACAAAAGCAAAATCAGCTCCTTTATGAACGGTTTCACAGGAAGTGGTTCCACAGAACAGTTTTAATGTCCTGTGTATCAGGAGGAATGACAAAAGCTGCTGCGGCTTAGGCTTTTCGGAAGGCATTAAACATATATTTCAAAAATTAATTTTTACCAAAGGTTCTGTTCAACAGAAAGTAACAATTTTCAACAGTATCATGTCATATATTTTTAAATAAACCTCAACAAATTTCTCTTGAGATAAAACTAGTTACCTATCCTCTGAGAGAGATTTATTTCAGGTCAACTTTTATAAAAGTAACAACTGATTTTAAATTCCTCTAGGTCCTCAGTTTCAAGCAAAAGTTCAGAGGAGTATCTTTTCCCCAACATGGTAAATAGAAGAGCATATTATTATGAAACACAGCAAACATGCAATTCCTGAATCCACAACAACAGCAAAACTACCTAATTATTCATTTATTCATTCGATTATACAGATGATTATTTCCAGCCAGCAGTTGGGTGAGGTTTTCTTAGGTTTGCTTTGTCAGTTGTTCTTCTGTTGAAGACTATTAATTGCTAGAACAAAAAAGGGTAGTTACCTTGCCACTGAACTAGTAAATTGTAAAGTTCTGCAAATAGATACATCATTTCTAGAGAGAATACGCTAAAAAAGTAAACAAGGTAAGATAACACACTTTGAGCCACATTCTTTGATGTCTTCTGTTATGCTGAATAAAATTTTCCGTATGAGAAACAGGCATATATGAATATACTACAGAATAACACCGTGTAGAGTAATAACTCTTCTATTCTTGTTAGTTTAAATCACTACCTAGTAACATAAAAAAACCCCAACAACTTGTGTGTTGAGATTTTAATAGTCCCATGCCAGAAATCTCTACCTGCCTCTTGGGCATCTCTTGCACTTCTGTCCAATGAAAGAATCATTTACAAGATGTTTAACACAGTGTCCAAGTGTAAGAGGCCAATTTAAATACACGTTCAAAGAGGGGACACACAAGGAACATATGGTGAATGGGGAAAAATAGGGATGAAAATTTAAATCCCAAGTAAGTCAAACAAGAAGAAATATGCAGTAAGTCAATAATTACTTTAAAATAACAGGAACTCCAGGCAAAATATTCTCATAAGGTAATTCCCAAATTGTTTAATTGCTTAAAAGTGTATTTTCCTAAAAATAATGGCACTGCAGATAGTGGCTCCAGCCCTGCAAAGACCTACCACAAGCCTATCTTAACATTATTTAAGCAATTGTTAATGATTGAATGAGCAAATCTTTTCACGTCTGAGACGTTGCATGAAGGTTAACTGTTCTTATGAGCAGATATAAAGGAAGTAACTGTCTAAATACATGAAACAAGAAGTTCATAGCTAACTTGTAAATTACTACCTTTTCAGGCATCTTGCAATATACTCCTTATTTAAATAAGAAAAAAAGATTGCATTTCAAACCTGTTCTCCATCTGTAATGCCAAGGTTCTCTGCTAACTGTCTGTTAATCTCTGCAATGTTTTCACCTTGGTGACCTCGATGCCTGATTTCCATCCAGCTCAAAAATATAGGCTGATGACCATAGGATAGTTTCACAGCTTGGCCCTATACGTTTCAAAGAAATAAAATAAATTAACATCAAACAAGCTAAAGAAGATGACTATTAGTCAACCTAAACTATATTTGACTAGAGAGATCAAAGGAATTAAAGATATTTTCTGGATTTTACATGCCTGTTTTAATTAAAATCCCCTCACAATAACTTCCAGCATTTACAACATGTTAGTAAAGGGTGTCTCTATTAGCAATGACAGATTTTTTTTTTTTTTAAATTCTGGCAGACTGGCCAACTTCTTAATAACCAAGGCCTTCCTTAGAATCCTTCTCCATGTTACCTACGTGCACAACTCTCAACATAGAAGTGCATGGTGGTTTTGATTTTTAAACAGCTTTTGATTTTTATGGACTGTTTTTAAGCAAGGAAGGTAACTCCTCTTCCCTTCTGTATCATAGCCTATCAAACAAATATCTTACAGAAATGTATAACTACGCATTTCTACTTCTCAAATGAGGAAAAAACATAAGCATATGCTTAAACTTCACATGCATTAACATTCGCATGGACTCCAAGAGTTCTTTCATGAGCTGGGGAATGTGCAAACGAAGTCATAATTCACACAAACTCAGACCAAAATAATTTTATCAATCTGTTTCAGAACCACTCAGCTATTCTGATTCCAAACTGAACAATCTGGATATGTTCAGTTTCCATATAAAAAGACTATATCCTACATTGTATCACTCCACTGATGTGTTCTGTTGGTTTTTTTTTAAAAATGACTATTTTTATGAAAATCAAGAGACCAAGATAATGTACGCTATGGATATACCACAGATTTACCTGTTAACAGAGTGATGTTTTCTAGTTTGTTCTCAACTGTATCCTAATGATTTCAAATATGATTTGACTTTTTGGTAAACTCTGAAAACATTTTCAGAGAATATCTACAATGGTTCCAAGATCCTCTTACCAAACGTAATTTTAGATGTACAGCTCTTCCCTGTATTCACACAGATAAAGCCTCTCCCCCAGCCTCTTAATCTCCACACAACGCTGAGTTTCATAGACCATTTTATCACCCACTTATCTAATATGTTCTGCAATTAGATTTAGCTTTTGATTCCATTTAAGTTTTTATATGATTTACTCAGTGTAATCTATTAACATAATTATTTATCCCCTTTTTAACATTTTTACTCAAGAGTTTGCATTTAATACGCTATGTCTATCAAGATTTCGGAGATCATACATTTTCATTTTGCGGATCACATTAAGTAAAAGCAGGAGCCCACCATAACCAACTATGTACAGAATGATGCTACAAGGCTTCAAAGCAATCACACTCCTTTTTCCTCTCTCTCGCCAGCAGATCTGTAAAACATCCAGAAACTGCAGCAGAAGTGAAGGTAACATTTATACCGGATTTCTTGCAACCCCACCAACCTCTTTCTACTACGCCAAAGAAAAAAAAGCAGGTTTTTACAAGTCTAGATGATTTTGCTTTTTGCGAAACGTCCTTTTTGGCCTTGGGGAATTAGCAGGTTACACAGGCTGGGTGAGGCCAGCCTGGCCGAGGAGGGCTTTGCCAGGACTGCGGCCGCCATCTCCACGCCTGAGCTTCGCTCCCGTCCCCCCCTCTTCACCCACCCATTCTTGCCATGTTTCACCCCGCCTGTTCTGCTAGCAGACCCTTAATTCTCGTGTTCATCGCAGAAGGGATGCACGCAGGCTTGGCTCCTGTTTTCACGTGTGAAATGTTATTTAAAATCTCAGGTGCGCTTCCCGCAACCGATCCACGTACTTAATAGGACTCTGCATGACAGGAGTGCCTTTCTACACAGGAATAGATAGTGAAAGCTTTACATACACCAAGAATTACGATTCCACTTGGATTTACCGTCTTACCTCCTACCTTAAAGATTAATTTACACATTATTCGGTTAATGCTGGTGAGTTCCTGTGAAAAGTGGTATAAAGCACATACTACTGGGAGAGACGCAGATGCCAACAGTGCCAGACTGCGCTGGGAGAGAAATGCCCGTCCTTTCCGCAGAAGAACGGAGGGCCGAGGAGCGCGGCTCGGCCGGGGCCCGGCCGCC